TTTTTTTTTTTTTCCTTATACTTCTACAGTCCAGGTATACCCTTTCCTCTCAGGTCCACTCCCAGAACCTGCCAGCTAGAACTTGAAAAGCTAGAAGGGCCCTCAACCTTTTCTACCCCTCCCCCTCCTCGTCTTCCCAAAAACCAACTTGTTATCTTTGCGTCAGACCAGACTATGTATCCCCTATTGTGGTCCCCCCCTAATCATCTCCCGCCTACAGCTTTTACCGTCTGACTAATAGCCCTAACAACCTAACCCGTAAGCGCAGATTCGATGCGTGAAACCCATAACTCCTAAACTCTTCCCTTTTTTCCTTAAACCCTAAACCCTTGACTCATATTCCTTTGCACCCTTCTACGTCCCTCTCCATTTGAACATTAAATTATTTCCACTTATGGTTGCCACCGCTCCCTGTCCCAAAATATTCTGATTAAAGCGTTTCGTTATCTCTTCCTCTTGCTCTGGTCGGAAATGTACTTGCTTCCTTACTGCTTTCCACTGAGCCCTCAAATCTGTTTCAAGCAGTGTGAGGAACATCTCCCTTGCTTCCTGCTTGTGCATTGGCCGACCTTCAATCGTAATTTGGCACCGGCGCTTCCAAATGGTCCAGAGACAATATTGGCGTATTAATTTATACATATGCTTCTCAAAAGTCTGCCAATGTTTCGAAATTTGGAGACCCAGTAATAGAGTTATCTTGGATTCAGGGAACTTAGCCTTTGAGATCTGGCCCCATATAGTCCTTGCTTCTCCCCATATCGTGATTGCTTCCTCACATTCTATGCGGCAATGTTGCATGGTTTCTGGGATTCCCCCCTGACACACTCTGCATGCCGCGCTTTCCGGATTTCTCTGCCTCAATCTTCTACGCTCATTCAACCACACATTAACAGGAAGTGCCACATGAGCTATTAGCCATTGCATGCTTCTGACTGAACCCAGACGTATGGCCGCAATGCTTGGCCATGGTATTTTACCCAATTGATTGTGGGGAACCCCTACTCTCTTCTCCCAACGCTTCAGCAAATGCGGCATAAGCGCATGAGAACGCCTCCTCAACTTATACCCAATTCTGGTGGTATAATGCAGGATGTTGATTCTTCTTGCTGCTCCTGTTTCTCTGCTTCTTATGTTCCAGGCCCATTCTGTTGGATCCACTTCCAAATCTTCCAGTGGTACCGATGGATTGAATATTGTGAATTCATCTGTCTCCACCACCCTGACCTTCGGCAGGTACTGTTTGAGAATGACGATCGGCACTTTGGATGCCATGTCCAAGAGAGTAGTGTTGGGAGGGTGGAGTATGGCATACTTATTTGCATGAAGCCAATCCGGCCTAGAAGTATCTTGGTTCCAGACCCTGAAGACTTCCTTGGGTTCGTTGTCATCATTTCATGTGGCCCAGTCACCCTGACCCCACCGTATACCTTGCTGTAGCAGTTGCACCCATCCTTGCGGTATAGCTCCCAATATGATCTCACGGTTGTCAGATAGTATGTGGCATCCTTTTAAGTGTGCCCTCAGTTCTTCGACTGTTTTCCATCTATTTTCCTTTTCTTCCCAGATGTGCTTTACCTGCCACACCCYGTGCTCTAGCCACTTTCCCCACTTTGCATCCTTCACCGACAGTGTTAGYGGYTTCCCTTGCCCGTCCTTAATGCTCGGGTTGCAGAATAAAGGTTGTCTAATTACTTCTTCTCTCGTGTTAGGCTCCTTGACTTTCGCCGGAAAGATATTTTTCCATAACTTCAGCAATTGTCCCCAATAGGATGTCCTTCTAGCCTCTTCCTCCGCCTCCTCATTACCCCTTTCGCTTCTGCCCACCCTAGCCCAATTGCTGCACATTACCCAAAACAAACATCAATCATCAGTCTGGTTCCTATTCCACTGGCAAGTCATAAATAAATATTATATCATGACGCACACTCACGCTTCCTTCCGTCTGGCCGAAGGAACCCTGACCAGCATTGATTACTCCAGCATCGTGGAGGATTGACTGTGAGCTTGCCTTACTTACACCTTTCCTCTCAGGTCCACTACATGAGCCTGCCATATAAATAATAAAGAGCAAGAAAGGTAAGAGAAGCTACAAAAGTTGCAGTCTTGGGACTTGCCCTCCAAAGTTATGTGACCTGTGATGGATGTTGTCCTTCTGCTGGTTGGGATCTCTGCCTTTTCCACGCCGTGTCTGAGTTGTGCCAGTCGTTTCATCGTAAGTGGAAGTCATTTATCTCTGCAACTTTGCCCTTTGCAAGCCACACTTTAGTGAACTTTGCATTGACTCTTCTCTGTTGCTCTTCGTCATCTGGCATGGACTGTCTCGTCTTGTGCCACTTGCACAGGATCTCCGTCTGAATCAAAGTCCTTGTCTCCGCCCATACCTTCTCCCTTGGAGTTGAGAGTCCCTCAATGGTTCGACAACACCTTTCCTTCCAGATGGACCACAACATTACCTTTCTGATTATTCCAGACAACGTTTTCTCTATCTTGTGGAATTGAGGTGGGATGTTAGTCCATAGAAGGAGTTGGATGGGATGTTCAAGGAGGGGACACGAAAAGAGGGAATCTCAGAGATCCGAGGCTCTCGCCCAGTATTCGGTCGCCTCTCTACAGCGTATCAGGCAGTGTAGCATATCTTCAGGTTCATTTTCTGAACATACCGTGCATAAATCTGAATTGTTAGGGTCATTCTTGCTTCGTCTGATATGCAGCCACTAGTTGAGCGGCAGAGCTGCTTTTTTTTTTTTTTTTTTTTTTTACCGGTAGAGCTACGTATGAGATGAGCCATTGTAGGCTTCTAATTTTAACCGAGCGAATTGACTTGAATTTTTTCCATGGTATTTGTGGGATCTGACTAGCGTCTTGACCTATTAGCTTCTGCCATCTGTTCTTGATCGTTGGTTTAGGACCCTTCGTTTTGAGGAGTAAGTTGTATCCCAGCTTGACTGTGTATTCCTGACCGGAGACTTTAGTTTTGAGGATTCTGCTTCGTTCTGGTGTCCAAGCCCACTCAACTAGATCAAATTCCAAATCTTGAATCGTCGTATCTA